ATTGTGGTGTACAAAATTTTTCCGGGACAAAAAAGTAATTCTATCATGGTCGGTTTATCCAAGGTGTTAATCGAGTTGAAACTTTCCGATCAATGGTATGCTCGGGGTTGAATTCCAGTGAATCATCACTTATTTTAAGCTCGACTTGAGCTTAACCTCATGGTTGAGGTTATCTTGGAGCATCAGAGTGTTATCTTGGAACCATTGTTACCAATTGTACATTCATGTAGAAAAGCAAATTGCCTTCGCACATTGATTACATGTCTCGAAGACTCATAGGCCAATTTTCTTGATTGGCTTGATCTGTTATCCATATTCTATATATTATTCAAATTAAAATTATTTAAAATATGAAAATTTTCACAATAGGTGTCACCCTCATAGTGGATGACATTTTATCATCATTGATAACAATTAAGGGTGGGGTTATTCTCACCCCCCACAAATCTCCAATCCCACCTCATTAATTTCTCATTATGAAACTACTATACTCACCTTTTCTATATTCACCCTATTAGTAACTAAACCCACCACATGCTATATACACTCCATTAATAGTTAAATTTACTTATTCTATGTACATCCCTTTAATGAAAGAAGTTATCATAAAAAAAAATGATAAAAGAAGACAATTAGTTTGAATTCATGTTCAGTCCATAACCCTTGAAAAATCAAATAAATAGTACAGCGTCTATCTTTCTGTCTATTTATGTTCATGTGATTTCTCTTCACTTAACACTCGTGTTCTCATTGAACATATGCCTTGTTGATTGAAAAGTGAAAAGACAAAAAATAGAATAGAGAATCATGTTTGGTTAGGAAGAAAAAATGAAAGGAAGAAAAATTGGAAGGATTTGTCTTCGAATCAACACAATAAAACTTATCCCTCAATAGTTGGATGGAAAATGGAAGGAAAAATAATTATGTGTGTTGAAATATAAGTTATTTGTCTTAATACTCTTAATATAAACACATATCCTATTGTATCCTTCATACTTTTTTTTCTTCCATTTTTCCAACTTTCCCAAAAAAGAGCCCATTAATATATGCCTTTTAAACATGGAGGAGGAAGCTTGGCGACCTTGGGTGGCAAAAGAAAGATAATTCAACACTATCAAAGTGCATTTCTTCGGTTACCTGGAACTCAAGGTATTTTCTGTATACCTCCCTACAAACTAAACGTAGAATGAAAGACAGAAAGAGAGAAAGTAAGAGTAATATATTTTCTATCATCCAGAGGAAAAATTTATTTTTTTTTTCCGTCCTTTGTGTTTCTAGGAGGGTTGAAATGTAGGAAGATTTAATTTTTTTTTTATTAGATTTTGATTAAAAAATAGAAGAAACTAAAAAACATAGATGTTTTTTTTCCATTGTATTGTATCTATACATGAGATTAATGTATATGTAATATATAATCTATATAATAAAGTAAGTAGAACGAAATTTGAATTCAAAAGACAAAGAGAGGTCCAGATCGTTTTGAGATAAAACATAAACACATCCAATGAACAACGTAATTCCAACATAAAAGATAATTCAGATCATCTTAAAAATTTTGATCTAACGATATGCAGTTAGTCTTGAATTTCTTTTCCCACCTATGAAGAAGCCTCTTATCGTAAGACTCTACACTCCTATCTCTTATACGTTTCTATCTTAAATTTAAAAAAATACAATAATAATTTAGATTGAATTCATTTTAAATTAAATGATCTAAATGTTATATGTTAAAAGTGTATTGTTTGTACCTTGATTTAGGTTGATTTTGTTTAATTTCTAATTTTACGATAAAACTTTGCATAAAATTAAAAATATTTATATTAAACACACATAAAATACATAATATCTCTAAGTTTAGTGCTCTTTTTTTTTTAAAGTTTGACAGTTTAACATTTTACCCCAATAACCATATACACATCATCACTACAACACAAAAACCAGTATTCAAATGGACAATGTCACAATTTTTGGACATGTAAGTAATTTAATATATCAATTTTTTCAAACCTTTGATATAATATTTCATTAAAAACCATTATATACTTAATATATAATTTTTCACTCTTTTTATTACAAACTGATTCATACCTAGAATACACTATAAGTAGATCTTTTTATCATACATCTTAGTACCAATGATTGATGTTTACTTCTTATTTCTTATCAATCAATGAAGTTTAAATTATTTTTTTAATCCATAAATAAAATTATCAAGTTATTATTTATACCAAAAAAAAATCACTACTATCTGAAAACCTATAGTTCTCAAAAAATTAAAAAAAATTCAAAACCCAAGTTAATCAGCAATTAAAAAAAAAAAGTGAACAATACAAAAAAAATAAGATACCAATTGCACCAACAAAAAATGTTCAAAATCAATCTAATTGCTATGTATTAAAATTATTCAAACATCCTATCTTTGTGTGTTGAAATTTTATAAGTAACATAGTGCCTTCAAGCACGAATAAATGACTAGTAAATCAATATAATACATGCATATATTAAGGAATATAACGGTAATAATATTTTTTTGAACATACATAATTAACTTTTCTTTCACTTTTCTTCTTAACTTTAGAGAGATAGATTTTGGTTAGTTGAAAGAAAGACTAATTCTTCCACATTTTTATTTTAACCAAAAATGATTATTTATCCATTTGTTTCATTTTTCTTCTTACCAAACGGACCATAAAATTCATCACAAGCAAAAGCTCATCCACTATATTTTCTCCACAAAGTTCTCAAACGTTGGATTAAAGAAAGGGTAAGATTTCACTATATCTTGAATCATAATTTATCTTCTTATGTAAAAGTTTTTTATATTATAAAATTTTGGGTTAATTGCAAAATGTCCCCTCAAAGTCTGGTGCAAGTTGCAATCAACTCCTCATGGTTTCAATTTAAACAATTTGTTCCCTTCAAGTCTGAACATTATCTTAATTGCTTAATTGCCGTTAATTCCACGTCAAAATGTTGATAGAATTTCTTAAATACAATTAAAAAGACAATTTTACCCTTCCACTTTTATGTGTGTGAAAAAACAAAAACTGAAATTTATCCTCCACAATTAGGGGTGTCAAACGTGTGACCCACATGTCATATTTTTTGAGTCGTTTCATTGTTATTTGTGTTGTGTTCATGTCAAGACTCACGAAAAAAAGATATATTTAATATGTTTTGAGTATTAAATATTATTCTAAATTATTTATTATACGTATTTAATAATCGTGTCAATTTTATAATCGTATTCTTGTCAAGTTCGTATGAACGGATGAGAGTTTGACACCCCTCTCCACAACCCCACCCCAAACCCCACTTCTGCTGGAAAACCCAACGCCACCCCTTCTGTGAGTCACAATCTATTCAACGCCAACAAGACCACTCCCAACCCCGTTTCAGTCGGCAGACCTAGCCCAGCCGAAGAATAGCCAAACCCCATAACCCCAACTAGTAAGCCTCTCCCTGATAGCGTCCGTAACCACCATTACACCAGTAGCCTAGCCACACTTTGATGACAAGCAACTCCATGCCTCCCATTGGTGGCGAAATTCTTCGACAATCAACCCTCTACCACTATTCTTGTCCCTCCACCATTTGCACCAAAACACCATTCTTGTTATCATTGTTTCCCTGAGACCCCCTCATCCCGCTCACCGACAAATATGAACTCAGCCCCAAACATATGACAACACACATCCAATGTTCTACCCTCCACTAATGCTTTATTCGAGGCCTTGATCGAGTTGGAGCCGATGAGCAGCTATATTCCGTGTTTTCACAAATTCCGAGTGGGATTTGGATAGAGTTGAAGCTTTGTTCATGGTGGAGGTTTTTTGGTTGTTGTGGCACCACGTGTATGGCGGTGATGGGGGCTATATAGTGGCTTGAGCGGAGCATTTACAACGTGTTTATTCTCTTTCTTCTCATTTTCATTTTCACTGTTCCTTTTGTTTTGTTGGTGTTTGGTGACTTTTAAAACTTTCATCTATTCCATCAGTTAGTTTAATCAAATGAAAACTTGAAGGCACAAATTGTTTAAATTAAAACCATGAGGAGCTAAGTAAAACATGACCTAAACTTAGAGGGGGAATTTTATAATTAATCCTAAAATTTTTTCTGGACAACTTTGTGATGCCTGTGAAGCATAGATACATAAAAAAAACTAAAATATATATATCCCATATGTATCGAAGACAAAAATGTATTAGATATGGCACGACATGTTTTGATACAAATGTGTCTCAGGTATGATTTGTTACATAATTTTTACGGCCAAATACATTTTGAATTATTTTAAAATATTTGTTGATGCCTTAAAAATACGTCAATTATACATGTTTGGTACTTCTAGGATACCCGGAGAAACGCGGGGATTAAATATATCATTTTTTTAAAAAACAAAATAGGACATTGAATGAAATAATTATTTTAAAATAAAAATATGAAGTTCTTTTGCAAGAAAAAAATATACTTTTTGATATCAACACAATTGACGTATTTAACATTTTATTTATTGAACACAAGCCTTTAGTAGCATACCATTACTCTCTGGTTTAAGATTTCACTCATCTAGAAAGTGAAAACAATAAACTAACTTGAATATACTATAAACAATTTGTCATATATCTGAAGTTTTAAGAGTTTTCTATCAAAGTACTAGAATGATGAAGTTTATTTATTTTGATCAAACGAAAATTTTCATATTGACAATTAATATGCATATAGTCAAAAATATTTAAACACTCATGCAAACCAAACTATTTTATAATAAAAAGTATATTAAATAAATAAATCAATTTCCTAATTCAATAAGGAAGTAAATTAAAATTTACTAAAAACATTCTAATTGACCTTAATTAGAAATAATTAGACTCATTCAAACGACATTGACCAAAACAAAATCCAAAAAGCTTGCCTTGCATTGTGCATCAGAACGTGACTAATTAGAGAAGTTAGATACTATAAATAATGATACTGTAAATAACTTTTGGACATTGTGTATGGGTAGTTATTGGATATTGTGGTCTAGACCCCAATTGACAAAGTCATGAATGAGCAAAGTGTCTTTTTGAAGTTTTGGTCTAAGTTATGACAGATTGAAGTTCAATATCATTTTTGGGGATGGGGGGTAGAAGGCTGAAACCATATCTCTAGTAGATGTTCTGTTCCTGTCCTATTTCTTGATTCATATTAATCTTCGATAGTGCGTTGTGGTTTGTCCATGCAGGAAAAACAGCTGTGTGGTGAAATCAAGATCCTACCAACACATTATCTCAGCCTGTTGGAAACCATTTCAATGGGGATTTTAAAGGGCAAGATTACCAAGAAATCCGAGGCGCATGGTATGTTCAACCTTGATCCAAACAAGATGGATAGAGTATATGATATGCTTGTGAAAAAGGGAATCACTCAAACGTGACATGCAGCCAGTCTGCAATTTTGTTCGAGAGCTAATGAGTTGTGGATTCTAGAAAGGTAAATAGTGCCCTTGTGGCCATTAACTCTCTAAAATTTTGTAGTGATATTTTAAAAAAATTGCAGGAGTATATGAACTACAGGAGTGCAGTGATATTTTAAAAAATCGAGGGATTGTCTCTATAATTGGATCAATCTAAATGCTTAATGAGATGGAAATAGATATTTTAAAGGTGAAAATAGCCACCCTCTTTCATTATCCAATATATAAATAATAAACACCAAAAAAATTTATCTTTACAACATAGAGGTGTAGACTGAGTTGCAGCTGTTGAACTTGACTATACTCGGATTTGGTTTAGTTATGAATGGCTGACTTGAGTTTGATCGTCGTGCTTAGTTTTTATTAAAGCTCGGCTCGACAAATGTATGTGAATTGAATTTAAGCTAAAATCAAGTTCATTTTTAAATAAAAAATATTAAAAATTTAAATCTTAAAGTTGAATAATCAATAATAAAATAATCAATTTATCAATAAAAAATCATTGAAATTAAACCGTATAAGTTCAAATTTCCTCAAAAATATATTAAGGAAGGGAGGGTAGAAAAAAAGTGTATATAGCGGGAAGTTATTTAAGGATAAATTTCACATTGTTCATCTCTCATACAGGATTGTTTTGCAATAAAATTAAAATTATTTAGAGATAAAAACCTACGCAATCACTAACCACAATTATTTGAATTTGGCTCTTTTATACAATAAGCTTAAATATTTAATCAAAACTTGATTTATGTTGAAAAGTGAAGGAGTTTGAACATAACAAAACAAATCAAATCAAACTCCAATCATTTAACAGACGAAATAAAATCGTTTCAGAAAATAAAATCACGCTGGCAAAAAATAAATGTCACGGAAAACACAAGTTGATAGTGAAATGAAGATGACTTTCTACAACGAAAAATCAGTGGTCACATTGCTTTTCGTCACCATTTTGTGCAATGCATTTGCCCGTTCATCTCTAGAAAGTCCTATTTTGCGTCGAAATATGAATTTTGTCCGAAAACTTGAGTAGATCTTTGTGTTTTTATGTTGGATTATGTTATCTTACATTATGTTGTGTTGCATGATGTTGTGTTGAATTTACATAGGAGACAAATTTTTAATTATATTATGTTGGATTATGCTGTAGACAAAGTTTTAATTATGTTATGTTGGATTATATTGTAGATGACAAACTTTTAATTATGTTATGCTATTCTATAATTATGCTAAATTATTTAGAATATTAAATTTATTTAGAGTTTTGGATTTTGTTGGCTTGGGCTTGGGTTTGGGCTGGGGTGAATAAGGTGGACGGGGGCGGGGGTGAAGGTGGGGGACAGAGCGGGGGCGGGAACTACAAATTTACCCGCAGACGGGAATGAAGATGAAAATTATACTCGTTAACGAGGGCAGATCGGAGATGAACATAGTTTTTTTAAGGGGGTACAGGAATGAAAACTACACCCCTCGCCCTCGTTTCGGTCCACTGTCATACCTATTGTTAGGTTTAAACATGTTTTTTTATTACCCCGTGTCTTCAGGCACAGGTAATAACTTTCCTTAGGTGTGACCATGAGGGCCTTTTCACTTAAAATGTCTTATTTGAGTAAATAACTATTAATCTAGAAGAACAGTTCATCATCACAACACCACCAAAATTAAGTAACAAACTTCGTTGCTCCCGTGAATTAAACCTTCTTTGATAATAATATGAGAGTCGGGAACAACTCTAAACGGGTATAACTTACCACTAGACTACCAGCTCGTGTGATATATTTCAGGTATATTCAGATAATTTTCTTTCACCCACTAAATTAAATGACAATAAAAAAAGAGAAAAAAGGTTGTTGATATTTGAAGCTGAACGAAGAGTGGCCACCGGGAAATCTGGAGAGGCAGATCTTACTAATGTGCTTTTCAAGATTCAAGAGAGTAGCAACCAGGGTAGTTCCCCATCACAACTAACATGATCAAAACTTTAATTTTGGTGTACTCATTGACCCATGTGCAGGAAAATATGTGACAGGGGCTTCACACAGGGGTAAAATGGTCATTTTATGTACAATATTTCATAGTGCCAGATCTTGTTTTTAACATTGCCTAATGATTGTAACGGCAAGGGGTGCTGAAATGGGTATATAAACTACAGGGGTGTGAGTGATATTTTACAAAATTGATGGAGTGTCTCTGTGATTAGATCAATCTAAATGTTTAATGAGATGGAAATAGATATTTTAAAGGTGAAAATAACCACCCACTTTCATTATTCAACATATAAATAATAAGCACCAAAAATATCTATCACGACAACGTAGAGGTTTCAACCGAGTTGTAGTTGTTGAATTTAAATATACTCAGATTCAGTTTAGTTGTGAATGACAAAGTTTGAGTTTGATTGTCGCGCGTAGATTTTATAAAAACTTGACTAGACAACTGTATGTGAATTGAATTTAAGCTGAAATCAAGTTCATTTTTTAAATAAAAAATATTAAAAATTTAAATCTTAGAGTTGAATAATCAATAATAAAATAATCAATTTATCAATAAAAAATTATTGAAATTAAATCGTATAAGTTCAAAGTTTCTCAAAAATATATTAAAGAAGAGATGATAGAGAAAACGTGTATATAGCGTGGAGTTATTTAAGGATAAATTTGACATTGTTCATCTCTCATACAAGATTGTTCTGCAATAAAATTACAATTATTTAGAGATAAAAACCTAATCAATCTCAACCGAGACTACAGAAACCTAATCACAATTATTTGAATTTGACACTTTTATATACAATAAGCTTCTAATTTTGATTCTGTCACTGTTAACATGACATGCTTATTATTCTTGTTAGCAATTTGTGTTATTTTTGTATTCTTGTCAAGAACTAATTAATCTTAATCTACTAATTTTATATCAAATTTATGTCGTTCTAACACTTCGTATTGAAAATCCCTACTCTCAGTATATACAAATCCATCAACTTCATGTTTCATGATTTTGTAAAGAAAAAAAAAAAGGAACATCTTTTTGATTTTCTTGAATGGTGTTTACGGGAGGACTTGACTTAAAAGTTAAAATAAGTCCACGTTCAAACGAATGGAGTGTTGTTTACGGGAGGACTGGGCAAAAGTGAGAGCTAGAGTGACTCCAAAAATTAAAGGGAGAAGGGACCATGGGTTCACATTTGAGCACTTTTTAGGTTTTAGGTCAATCCTGAACATTTTTAATGTCAAAAGCCTATAAAACATCATTGACAAAAATAATTTTAATGAATGAAGTTATTTAAAAAATTTTATTATTATATTTATTATCCCTATTATCATCATTCAACCACTGCCATCCACCGCCATAACCACCCACCACCACTGCAACCCACTACCATAATTGCCCCCGTCCACTACTCAAGAAGTTATCTATAAAACAAACTGATTTTCCTAGCTCAAAACTTACCTAGCAGCCATGGTTGTGAGCAACTCTTCGAATATCATCTTTTTCTTCTTTCTTCTTATACCTTCTGCATCCCCACTGTATTTTAACCTCTCCAGTATCGGACCTGGTGATACAAATCACACCATAAATGTCACTGGAGCTGCAAATATCACTGAACAAGGCATTCAAGTCACCCCAAATAACCTCACATTAGGAAAAACCGCAGGTCGAGCCACGTACATCCAACAGCTGCACTTATGGGACAATGCTTCAGGAACGCAGGCAGACTTCACAACCCATTTCTATTTCATAATTGATTCAAGTGGTAATCAATACTATGGGGATGGTTTAGCTTTCTTCATGGCTCCTGTTGGTTCAAGTATCCCTGCAAGCGCTAATGGAAGTGGTCTTGGTCTTGTAGGCGGGAACAGAGTCTCAGACTTTCTCCCGAATCAATTTTTTGCGGTGGAGTTTGATACATGGGCGAATGTTGCTTGGTGGGATCCCAATTTCACACATGTAGGTATCAATTTCAACTCCATGAGATCTGTTTCCACAGCGGTATGGTTGAATAATATGCAAGAAAATGATGCTTGGATTAGCTATAATTCTAGTTCCAAAACTATTGAAGTTTTTTTCACTAATTTTTCAGATAGTGGATCCCAAAAAGATAGACTTTCCTATCATGTGAACCTAATGGATTACTTACCAGAATGGGTTACTTTTGGGTTCTCTGCGGCAACGGGAGATTATTTAGAGACAAAAAATGTTAAAACATGGGAGTTCAATTCGAGTTTCCAAATTGATGCTCATTTAAGCAACCCAAGTCCAACCCCAAATCCAAACTCCAGTATAGTGGCCACTAGAGTAAAGAAACACAAGATAGGACTACTAGTGTTGGTGTTGGGTGTGAGCCTGAGTGTTTTGATTGGCGGGCTGGCTTTGGTTGGCTATTGCTTGTTGAAGAAGAGAAAAACAGAAGAAGAAGAAGTGCATGTCTTTGAGTTGTCCATGAAAGACCAATTTGAAAAGGGTAGTGGTCCTAAGATGTTCTCATATAGTGCATTGGTTTATGCAACACAAAACTTCGCAGAGAAGCTTGGAGAGGGAGGATTTGGTGGAGTTTATAGAGGTTTCTTACGCGAATTGAATTCCTATGTTGCTACAAAGAGGATATCAAGGGGGTCTGATCAAGGGATAAGAGAATATGAGGCAGAAGTAATGGTCATCAGTTGCTTGAAGCACAGAAACCTAGTGCACCTCAAAGGTTGTTGTCATGAGAAAGAAGAACTCCTACTTGTTTATGAGTTCATGGCTAATGGTAGCTTAGATTCACATATCTTCGAAACGAATATTGTGTTGACATGGAGTCATAGGTACAAAATTGCCAAAGGCTTGGCCTAGGCATTGCTCTATCTGCACGAAGAATGGGAAGAATGTGTACTACATAGGGATATAAAACCAAGCAATATTATGTTAGACTCAAATTTTAATGCAAAACTTGGGGATTTTGGGTAGCTACGCTGGTTGATCATGAAAAGGGATGGCAAACAACAACTGTGGTAGGGGCTCGGGGCTACATCGATCCTCAATGTTTCGAAACAGGCAAGGTTAGTAAGGAGTCTGATGTATACAGCTTTGGAGTTGTTTGTTTGGAGATAGCATATGGCAGAAAACCCAGAAGTTTTAGTGCCCAAGAAAATCATATGACAATTGTAGGATGGGTATGGGACCTGTATGATTCAAGAAAGATTCTTGAAGTAGCAGACCAAAAACTATGTGCAGGCTTTGACAAGCAAGAAATGGAAAGGTTGCTGGTGGTTGGCCTTTGGTGCACTCACCCAGATTACCATCGTCGATCGCCGATAAGGCAAGCTACTTTAGTCCTTAATTTTGAATCTCCTTTGCCTATTCTCCCATCAAAGATGCCACATGTCCCAACAAGTTTTGGTCCCCCAGCAAATATGCCTATATCTTGTTCATCTTCGTCTAGTGGCATCATGTTTTCGTGTTAAAGTTAATATTTTGTTGTGTTATTTTGTATTTGAGTCAAAAAAAATGTTAGTATGTGATGATGCACAAAATGATTTTGCACACCATCTGTCAAGTGTAAATAATAAATGCAGTAAAAGTAAAAAGAGAATTTGATGAGACAAGATTTATAGTGGTTCGGTCAACTTGACCTACGTCCACTCTTGAATGGCTCTAGTTGCGGGGTATTTTATTAATTTAAGGGTGTGGATAGCAGAGAGTACAAACTTTGAGGGAGAGGAAAGAGTCGTGCTCAGAGAAAGTGTGATGCCCAGGTAATCAGTGTGGTCTCCCCAAGTGTTGGTGGGGCGTGCAATTTATAGTGGTCTCCTAACAGGTTGGAGCTATTTTACAGCAATTGAGCAACTATTTTGGTGGAGCTTCATGATTTCTTCTCAACGGGTGCGGTGGTTGAGAGACTCTCCATGAGACGCGGTCAAGGATATGGTGAGGGTGAACCGTTTCCTTTGGCAGTGCAGGTAAGGCTTCCCATGCTCTCCCCCTTGATGACGTAACTAAGTAAAGAGTCTGACTGGTCTTGGGCTATGTTGGGTTTGGTGGATCTTTAAATGAGGTTGGGCTTCTCAATTGGAATTTGGACTTTGCACATAGATTGAGTCATTTTGGGCTTGATCCATCATTTGCCCCCCATTGCCCCATGTTCAAGGAAACTTGGAGAAGGGTGCATTAATTTGCTCCTTGAGTTATAAGTGATGGAGACTTCCTTGCTAGATGACTCTTTCCCTCCATGATGCATTTTTGCTTTGCATGCCTCAAGTTTTTTTTTTTTAAGTGGGTATTTGGAGCTTTGAAGGAGGTGGAATAGAGAGGCTATATTGGTGCCATGAGGAGTGGCGAAATTAGGGCTGAGGAGAGTGATCTTGGAGCATTTGAAGTTACAAGTATCGAAGGACGAGGAGGGGAAAAATCCCCGCTAGCCGCCATCGCCATTCGTGCGCACCAACAGCAGCCCGTGCAAGCGCCTATAGGCGTTGCTTTGGGCGCTGGTTCAGGCGCCTCACATGTGGGTTTTGGTATTTTTGGCATGGCTCCCAACCTGGGTAGGCATGGAGGAAAAAAGATGGACTTCCTAGCCGAGCTGGGCAGCAAAAAAATGGGTTGTTCTGGGCAGTTCTGATGCGCTGGGCAGCAGCCTGAGCACTGATTTTGCTGTCCTGGACAGCCCAGGCGCACTGGGCAGCTACCTGGGCATTGGTTTTGCTGTCCTGGACAGCTCAGGTGCGCTGGGCAGCAGTTTGGACACTGTTTCTGCTGTCCTGGATAGCTCAAACGCGCTGGGCAGCACAGATTCTGCTGTTTTGGGCAGCGTTCGAGTGCTGGGCAGCAACATTTTTTCAGCGAAAAGTGCAGGAAATTAGTCCAAGGTGCAGTAGGGAGAGCTGGGTAGCAGCCTAGGTGCAGGCGTTGATTCGGGCACCGTAGGTGCTGATTTTGGTGCCGAAAATGCTGTTTTGTATGTCGAAAATGCTATTTTGTGCAATTTTGAAGGGTCAGGCACCTCTCCAACTACTGGGCAGCTCCATTTTGGCGAGCAAAGGCAGTCAGGCACCCCTTCAAGTGTTGACCTAGACACTGCAGGCGACGAGGGAGCTTTAGGTGCCGCTTTTGATCATCACGATTCGACTCCTTCAAATGTGACTTCTCAAATCCAAACCTCTCAAGAGGATGACCTGGACCACTTCTTGCCACCTCGAAAGAAGAAGCAAAAAAGTAAATTGGGACTCGATGACGATAGGTCTAAAGTGAGTACCCTTTTCAGTCTGTTCCATTTAGATGAAGATATCTCGAGACTTGTTTTTACTTATTGCATTCCTCCGACCGTGCTGTGCCGTCGGGTTGAGTTGGGCGAGCTTGCTTGCGATGACAAAAACAATATTATTCTAAACATTAAAATATCTCACATAATTACCTGGAGAGAGAGAGAGGTAGGTTGCTTGCGCGAGAGCAAAGACAGAGTTGGAGAACTGCTCGTGAGAAAGCTACACCTTTTGAGACCTAGTTTTTGGCGACCCATGAGGGAGTTTTTAAGCTTGAGGTATAAGTTGTCTGTTTGAGAACAGTGCAGAAACCAATTTTTTTTGGCGACCCCCAAGAGAGTCGCTAAGAAGGGGATAGACTGCCTGTTTGAGAACAATGTAGAGGCCAAGTTTTTTGGCGACCCATGAGAGAGCCGCTAAGCTGGAGATAGGCTGCCTGTTTGAGAACAGTGCAGAGGCCAAATTTTTTTGGCGACCCGTGAGAGAGTCGCTAAGCTAGAGATAGACTGCCTGTTTAAGAACAGTGTAGGGGCCAAGCTTTTTTGGCAACCCGTGAGAGAGCCACTAAGCTGAAGATAGACTGCTTGTGTTGAGAACAGTGCAAAATGTGCGATAAATGACTAGAACAAATTATCTGTTCAGAATGTGCAAGCAGTTAAAAAACAAATTATCTGTACATTGCCATAAATGACTAGAATGTGTGAATCAAGAAGGCTCAAACATAAAAAAGAATCAACAAATCAGTGAGTTTGATGGGCCAAGCCCAAGGGTCTAGCTCAAATTATAAGTTCGGTCCGAATTTATAGCCCATCTCTAAGAGATCCAACAAATCCAGCTCAATGTGGTCAACTCGGACAAGCTCATCAAGAATCAAAGAACTACATCAGCAGGGAGTATGTAAGGACATCCAAGAACCTCCTCTACCACCTTGGAGTAAGGGTCATGCCAAGAGCCTCATCCAAACCGCCCTGGAAGAAGTCAACCATCACCTCATCCTTTGACCAAGACCTTTGGAGAGCATCATAACTTCCTTGTCCGTTGGAGAGAGGAGAGATCGTCAAACTATTTAATTACTGACCCAATCCGTGATGACTATTAAGCGACCCCAATCCGTTATGACCGCCAGACTAACTATTCAATTACTACACTAAGCTACTATAAATTGTAAGTTCCACCAACACTTGGAGGGCATCAGACTCATTCGAGCATAATTTTCTCCTCCCTTGTAACTCTTTGCTCTCCCTACACATCGGAGTTAATAAAATACCGGCGATCCTTGCCATTCAAAGTAGACGTAGGCCACGTTGAACGAACCACCGTTGTATTTTCTCTCCCTCAACTTATTTTACTACATTTTATACTACTTACTTGACAGGTGGTGTGCAAACTAATTTGTGCATCATCAGAGTTAACCCATAATGTCTCGGCATACTGATATACTGTGTGGACTATGGAGGGGATGCCATGTTTTTCATCTTATTGCCTATCAAGAGGAAGATGAAAAAAAAGGCAATAAAACGCCACAAATAGATAATGTGCGATCAATACAGTGCAACCTGAGCCAATTGGTCAAGGTAATTGTGCCCAATCAAGCCTAATCCTGAGGATTGAGTACTGATGAGACTTTTCTGAAATACCCTATGATGAAGACACGTGTCCTCGGTTTTTACTAAAACACTGTTGCTAAGATCATGCACCATCGGCGCACGAATGTCCTCGCCCCCGAGGTACCGTCATATAGGATCATGCATTCAGTATATTTTACAACCGACACGTGGCCTCGGTCTAATATGTACCTCGATCGGTATACCTCCCTCGGTTCCCGAGATGAGCCTTTCCTCGGTGCCGAGAGGTACCCCGTCCTGGATGCTTCCTCTACTCCAGGATAAGCTATTGACGTACAGGTCATTAGCCTAGGCTAGTCTAGACTATTCATCATGACATCGTCTTACACAATTAGTGTCAGAACGTACTGGAATGCAGGGGTCACAGCCATTAAGAGATGGACGCGTGGCAAATGATATCACATCGAAACAGAGAAGACGCATGCCGTTTCTGACACGCGACTTGGGAAAGTAAACTATTAATTACACCATTCCTTTGATGAGACCGCATTCAATGCGGTAAGGCTCGAAAATGAAAGGCAATAAATGCTCCTAATACAGAGCGTTTATTGCATCCTCCCCGAGAGGAGTACATTGTACCGTCGGCGTCCCGATGGCACAACATTGATTGCTCGGGACCCCGAGCAGTTAAGAAGAGAAGACATTCTCATCAGAATTAGTGCACACACTGCCTGTACCTAATGATCATCTACTGACCACACTGACAGCAATCATGAGCTTTTAAGGTATAAATACTCCTTTCAAAAGGCAAGACAGGTATGCAACAACAAACTCTTTACTACAATACACAACACACTCAGTGTTTTCTCCTTCCTCTCTCTCTCTCAAAGACTGACTAGATCGTCGGAGGGGACGCCGAAAAACACTCCGGCGCCCTTCTAACTTGTTCTTCTTTGTTCCAGGATCCTCTTTGAGCCTCACTGGATCGTTCTTTCGCTCCCCCAGGGTCTCCCGTTGCCCTTCCGGGTTACCACCGGACCTCGCAGGCTGTTCCAGGCAGCGTGGTTGGTCACTCAACTGGCTCACTCGAAGTTCACCAGGGGAGAGATCTGTTCTAGTTTTTTATATTGTGCAGGATCTTGCACGCACAATCTGGCGCCGTCTGTGGGAAACGACTAATTTTCCTAGTCTTTTCTCTCTAAAGAACAGTGACCATGGTGAACACTCGACAGAAAGGGAAAGGACCCCACCAAAGGAGTCTCGAGTTACAAGCTCCCTGTCATCACGGAGGGAGGGATCACCCCAACACAAATAAAAGTGCCTCTACTCGGTCAAGAGGGGTTACCCCTCAAACCAATATGGGGATCAGGTCAGGGGGATCAGCCCCCTTGGCTCGTCAGCTAGCGGAGGTGATTGAAGAAAAATTTGGCGATAGATTACGTCAGCTGGAGAAGGACAATGTAAACTTCCTCAGCCGGCTCGACGAGTTTGCCGCCTCAGGCGGAGGGTCGAGGGATTCATTCCTTTTCCGTGGACTTCCCGTCCGGGAGGCGGAAACGAAGGATCTAAGAACCACCTAGACCACAAAGCAGAAAGCTCTAGGGCCCCAAAGCGACCC